CGGCCTCGCTGCTCAGCCTGCAGGCGCGCTTGGCCGGAGGCTGCGGCGGCTCCGAGTCCGAGTCGAGCCGCTTGTGCGCCGAGGTGGCCGGGCGCACGCACGGCGCGGCAGAGCCGCTCCACGGGACGCTCATCCCGGCTGGGCCGGAGGGAGAAGCTCGCTTATAACAGGGACGTCCCGGGTTCCATTTTGCGTCCGATGCTAATCCCAATTTGTTGAGGAGGACGTTGTTGTGGTTGCCGTGGAGGGGACGGGCAATTGTGAGGCAGACAAAACAAGAGAGAGGAGAATGAAAGGAAAAAGGTGCCTCACAGCCGGAGAGAGAGGCAGCGAGTGAGTGAGGTTGAACATGAACGCTGAAACCCTTACTTCGTTCAATTCACAAGCACCGCCTCTCTCTCTCTCTCTCTCTCTCTCTCTCTCTCTCTCTCTCTCTCTCTCTCTCTCTCTCTCTCTCGTTAATGTCGTACTGTATACAGTATACGATAGGGAGGGAGAGCGACGGTTTTATCCACTTTTATGACTCATACTGTGCATTCGTGTGTTTTCGACGGACATTCCGTCCATTAAACAACCATAAGAATTGGAGACCAGGCCGGCTCTTCACGCCTTTGTCGGTGCGCACACTCACAAATTAATCAAGTTGGACATTCTTGAAGACGTCTGGCGAATTTTTGTCCACTAGTGCCCCATTTAAACTCCCATGTGACGTTTGAGGCCGTGTTTTGTTATGTGAACAAACATGACTCAGTCCCGTTGAGCCTGCGAGCTGGTTCAGGTACAATAGGCCCATATGTCCCCGCTGGAGTGCGTGTGTGTGTTGCCAACAAGCCGTGCATAAGCAGGTTGCGCAAAATGATGAAAGGGGGCCGCCAATGTCGTACGGCCTCGCTGAACTCTGAACGGTTGCGGCACGAAATGGCTGCCGGGGCACAAAGTATCAAGCAAAAATAAAACATTAAGTGTTGTGGACTGTGCACGGCTTCACAGTTTTTCCACATTTGTTTAATCTTGTGTGTCAAACAGCGAGGCCTAAAAGTGTAAATACCAATTCTGAGTCTCTGGCCGATGCCGGCCTTATTTTAAGGTATCGCGTGCTCACGGGGGCTGCCGAGACCAGCCGCCGATACTTAAGGCAAAGTAAATCTGACATTAAGACTTCCTCTGCAGTAGTTTTTTTGGTCATTATTTTTAATGACATTTTACGCCGTGTACTTAGAGGTATCAATTCTTTGTATCGGTGAGTACACAAAGAGTGGTTACATCCATTTTCCGATCCGCTTAATCCTAACGGCGGGTGCTCGAGCCTATCCCAGCCGTCTTCGGGCAGTAGGCGGGGGACACCCTGAACCGGTTGCCAGCCAATCGCAGGTCACACACAGACAAACAACCATCCGCACTCACACTCACACCTCGGGACAATTTTGAGTGTTCAATCAGCCTGCCATGCATGTTTTTGGAATGTTGGAGGAAACCGGAGTACCCGGAGAAAACCCACGCAGGCCCGGGGAGAACATGCAAACTACATAGGAAGCCCAGAGCCGGGATCGAACCCACGACCTGTGCACTCTGAGGTCAACGCACTAACCACTGGATCACCGGGCCGCCTACTTGCACTGACATCGGTCGAAAAAAATGATATCGAACATCCCTAGATTGAAGCCTAAGGAAATGTTTCAAGACAGGCTCAGGGTTTGGAATGACCGTTAGCTTTCAAAATTGACTTTCAAGACAGGGTTAGGGTTTCAAGGCTGGCTGGGTGACGGTTTTAAAATAGGGTTTCCAGTTAAGGTTTCAAATGAGGATTTCAAGTCAGCGTTCAGGTTTCACATGAAGGCTACAAGACAGTGTGATAAGTTTCAAATTATGGTTTCAAGTCTGTGTTAGGGTTTCAAGCAGAGCTTAGTGTTTTGTAGAATTAAAAGTCAAGGTTTCAAATGGGCTTCTGAAGCTTCAGTAATTGTTTTCAAAGTAGCCTTTCATCTCACGGTTAAGATTTGCAGGCTGGTTTCGGGTTTCAAGTCAATGTTCGCGTTTCAAAATGTCCCTCGACAAGCGTATCAAAGTATCCTGTCCCACGTGAACCAAATATGAAATGAAAAGCATTTCTCAGGCTTTGGTTCGAATCAAATCACCTGACTAGCTTCTTGCATGGGGGGAGAAAAAAAAATCTTTTCTCAATCGCCGTCATATCCTAGCTTCTTGCATGGGGGGGAGAAAAAAAAATCTTTTCTCAATCGCCGTCGACGTGGTAGGTCACGTGACTTCATCGAAATCGACCACTCAGACTCTCTGAGCCACATTATTGTGATAGGAAGTGGACGCGTGCATGCGTGCGTGCGTACTCCCGCCACGACGAAAGGAAACAAACTCACCCTGCTGTGGGGGAAAGACAAACAGGAAGCCTTGTGTAACGCGCTGGTGAAAGCGCCGACCGTGCTCCTGACGTTAGCGTTGGCACGTCTGCTTGTTGACACGCAGATGACGCCACAATGGCGTCGGTAATTCCTCAAGATTACCTTTTGATTGCAAGCTAATAGAAGCTCTAATTTGAAGGATTTGTGACGCGTCAGCAAGAGCTTTGGATAATTATTGGCCCGAAAATGCTCGACGCGCCGCTTGGAATCATGCAAAGAAAATATTGTGAGATCCATGTCGATATATGATGACAGTGAAGTTGCAATTTTCTCTTGCGGCGTTAAAAGATTTGCTTCAATGTAAAATGAGATTAAAAGTGTTAATTTTTACGGCAATAACATCCAAAGATTCTGCCTAAAAAAATGAAGGGTTCAATTTTTTGTGCTGTTATAGTTTGAGATTAAAGTGATTGACCATTTTTTTCAAAATCCAAATATTACACAAATTCAGTCCCATTGTTACAAGCATCAAATTGTATATTTATGTCATTACAGTACACGAGTTATTAAAAAAAAGACAGTCAAATTATTCTTACAATCATATTTTTTTCTAGTAACACGACAAGAATTAAATCAAAATAATCCAAGAAAAATGTTGATTTTTTTTTCCCCCTTGTAATTTATGAGATTTAAGTGAAATATCATAATAGCCTTTTTTTTTATTTAAATAAATCCAGCCACAAAAAGGGATGGCTAATTATTGCTCTGAGCACTTGATACACAGCTTGAAAATATGACACATTTAACCCTTTCATCCACCAATAATGATAACATAATAACATGATATTCTGTCCACTGTAGTAACCTCTGTCCCTCAAAGGGTTAAATGAAAATATAAGTGTCAAATTTTTGCGCCCAAGTCAAAGTTAAAAATGTCCCGCTGATGGTTCATTTCTCTGAAAATTAGAAAATCGGGTCACACGTATCTCAAGCCGCTACTGTGATCACGGGAATCGTACGTGATTTTTCACTTTTTGAGCTATTCCGTTCGTTTCTGTAGCGCTAAAAATGGAGACTTTGTGCCGCCTGCTTTTGAAAATGTCTCGTAATTAGTCAAAGCAAACTTTATCGCGACGTGGAACATTCGATGTCGGTGACAAGTGGCATTGTTGACATTCCGGTTTCTGCCCAATCTGCCCATTGCAAACAAAAACATTCTTGTCTGGTTTCGTCGCCACCGGAATGAGCCCAGCCTGTTTCGCACCTGGAGAGTCTCTCGTGATTCATCTATTTTGGTACGTACCAGGAACAGCTGAACAAATGAGAAGGTGTTCGCACTTCAAAACCACGTGGACTATTTGGGGAGATTTTCCTGGAAAGGTTGATGAAAGCAACACTTTTCCGTTTGGCCCAGATTCTCGCCGTTCGTAGAGTCGGTTTCACGAGAACAGCAGCAAATTCTGTCGTGCATTTGTCAAGCAAAAATAAATGTCTTGTAAACGTGTTATCAACAACCGGACAGATTTTCCCCGGGCCACACACAGGCTGTCCAAAAAAATAAAATCTCCCTTTCTCTCCGTGACGTGCACTCGGTCTTGACAACGAGACTCTCTAATGTGGCCGCAACAGCCACGGTCCACACCCTGACTGTGAAGTCAGACTGATGCGTCGGACTTTAATTCATTAAAAAAAAAAAAAAAAAAAATCTTGCTCTTCCTTCTTGTGACATGCTTGCACTCAAGGCCGACAACAAGGCACTCTAAAGCAGTCGTGCCAGACCAAAGCCGTGGTGCACATGCTTGCTGTCAACTCGGCATGACGCGCACGCACTCATGGCCGACAAGCTCATCTTTAACCATGGCTTATTTCTGTTTCGCGGGGTTATCGAGAACGTCTGGTGGGCGGAGCCATCACATTACCGCTATGACACGTACATGACGTGAACGAAGCGTTTGCCATCCACTTCCTTGATTGTGGATTATTTTTAGCCGTTGCGTTTAATACTATTGTGCAAGTTGACAGCTATCAGTAATAAAAAGTCTGGTGACTCATCCGGGTGCTTCCCTGACTCATTTGTGCCTTAGGAACGGAAAAAAAAAAAAGTATTGCGAGACCATAGGCCAGTCGAAGCCTGCACCATTTTGGCAAATGTTTTTTTTCTGATCTGAACAAAGAAAATAGTTTTTTTTTTGTTTTTGTGGCAGTGTCTCTCTTTCTCTCTCTCTCTCTCACGCACGCGAACGCCCACACACACACACACACACACACACACACACACACACACACACACACACACACTCACTTTTCGTCATCGCTCTCTATGCCAA